CGTTCTTTGCCTGTGTGCTAGAATCCTCTTCAGAAGCCATGCTGCCCACTGCACTCTGTCCCCCAGAGCCCTGCCACAGCCGGGGCTGAGCTCCAACATGGATCCTGAAACACTCTGCAGGGGCTTCGGGAGCGTCATGGCATTGGACCCTAGTCCTGCCCATCTGTGGGGGCTCAGGCAGAGCAGCCTCCTACCTCTGCTCCTGTATCATCCAGCTTCCTCAAGTGCCCCTGCCTCCTCTGGTCTCAGTGCTGGCATTGGAGGGAGCAACAACACACTCGACTATCAGACTGTCTTTCCCAGCTTCCTTTGCAGCTACTTGTCACCATGAAACTAAGTTCTGACCAATAACATGTTGGTGGGATTATTTGAGAAACTCCCAGAGCATCTACTTATGGTGAACTGGCTTAGTGGGACATAAGCCCACTCTCTCCTTCTTTCTGCTGCCTGGAATGCTGGTGCTCCAACACATGGAGGATGGAAGCCGCACAATTGGATGATGGAGCAAGAAGAGGGAAGGAGCCTGGGTCCCAGATATCTATCCTAAGAGCCCTGGATTGTCTACCTCTGAACTTGTTTCGCAGGAAAGAGAACTCTCTATCTTTTGATTTGCATCAAACATCCCTGGTGGCACAGTGGTTCAGTGCTTAGCTGCGTGCTGACACAGCCACTTTGGTGGTTCAGATTTGGTGGGTTAAAGCAGAAGGACCAGAGTTAATGATGCATGCTACACTTAGAGATGTCTACAATTTTGGAGCCAGAGCCGGCTAAGATTGATCAATGTTGTCTACAGCTTAGATATCGTCTGTATTGTGTGTTTTTTAAGTGAATTCATTGAACAAATGGATTTTGTTCCAACTGCTTCACTTTTAAAAGGGTGAGACTGAATGCCTTCCGTATGCCACGCACAGACATTAACTCCCCAAACTGAATCCCATGTTTGAAGGTGAGTGCGAAAGCGACACCATTCTATTTAAAACACTGAGGAGTACAACCTTCATGACCGAGGGTTTGGCTGTGGATTCCTGGCTATGACCCCCCAAAGCACTGGCAACCAAAGAATTCCAGCCTCCTGTGCCGCCAAAAAACGCCATGGAGAAAATGAAAAAGACAAGCCACAGAATGGGGGAGGGGTGTGTGCAACTCATATATCTGATGAGGGACTTGCATCTGGACTGAGTGCACTGGTGATACAGTGGTTAAAGGTCTCGGCTGCTAACTGGAAGGTCAGTGGTTCAAACCCACCAGCCACTCCATGGAGAAAAAGGAGGCATTCATTTTGCCTCTGTCCAGACTGACAGCCTTGGAAACCCTACGGGTTCTCCTCTCTGCTGTGAGTCGGAGTCAATGGAATAGCATGGGGCGTTTATCTGGAATCTGGAAAGAGCTTTCGTAATGCAATAATAAAAAGGCAGATCATTGGATCAGAGGCTGAGTGAGCATCGTGCTCCTTTTAAGAATGATCTGTTAGGGATCAAAGTGACCCCAGTGATTCAGAAGGTGAGGAAGGAACCTTTGGGGCCAGGGAGTTATGCCAACCAGGATGGACCACTCAGAAGCGGATGGTCAGAATAGATGTACAACTCAGAGAGGGTAAGTAATGCCCTTGAAATGTACATATAGAAAGTGCTGAACTGGCCTATCGTGGCCAGATGTGGGGTTGCTACCTGCAAGGTTGGCAGTTCAATGCCCCCAGCCACTCCTCAAGAGAAAGATGAGGCTGTCTGTTCCAGTAAAGATAACAGCCCCAGAAACCCTACAGTGGATTGCTATGAGTCCGAATCAGATCAGTGGCAAAAGGGCGCGTGCACTGGTGAATCATATGTTCTCAACAACCCAAAATTTAAAATTCCACTTCGATGGGCAGGGGATTTGACTAGATGCTCATCCAGAGAAGATATACAAATGGCTAATCGAAACCCCACACCCATCGAGTTGATTTGAACTCATATCAAGTTGATTCCGACTTGTATCAATCCTGTAGGACATAGTCAAACTGTTCCATAGACTTTCCAGAAGTAGACAGCCTCCTTTTTCTCCTCAGGAGCAGATGGTGGATTCAAACTGCAGGCCTTTTGGTTTTGGGTTAACAGCCCAGTGCTTAAGCAACAGTGCCACCAGGGCTGATAAGCACATGAAATAACACATAAACGGCATGAGACATTAGAAGCTAGAAGCACAATGAGATGCCGCACTGCCATCGAATCAAGGCTGACTCATAGCGACCTGGTAGAACAAGGTAGGACTGCCCCTGCGAGTTTCTGAGATGAAAAATGTTCACAGGAGTTGAAAGCTGTTTTTCTCCCTTGGAATGGCTGGTGGCTTTGAAGAGAAATCGCCTTGCAGTTAACAGCCCAACGTGTAACCATAAGCCATTAGGGCATCCCTACCCCCCATTGGATGGCTAAGATAAAAGCAATAACAACAATTATTGACAAAGATGTGAAGAAATTGCAACCTTCATACGTTCCAAAATATTCCAGCCACTTTGGGAAAAGTTTGGCGGTTGTTCCTTAAAACATTCGGATGAGCCAGCAGTCCCAGCCCTAGGTAAACAAGCGCGTGAAGAGAAATGCTCGCTACAGCACTATTCAAGATGGTAAAAATGTGGAAACAATTCAAATGTCCACCCACTGGTGAGTGGGTAAGCAAGCGTGGAATATTGCTCAGCCAAAAGAAGAAATGAAGTAACGCTACATCTGCAATGTGGACGAACTCCGGGACATCATGCTAAGGGAAACCAGACAGGCCCGAAAAACCAAATAGAGACATAAAGCAGCTTAGTAGAGGCCAGGGTTTGAGGGGTGGGGAAGTGGAGGCTGCCTGTTAATGAGTTACCAACAAAGCAAAGCAGGTGCCCTGGCTCCATGCAGACCCATTCAGACTCTTATTGACCCTGCACGACAAACCAGAACTGCCCCCATAGTTTCCAAGGCTTTCATCTTTAGAGAAGCAAATGGTTGGTCACAAGCTAAGGCTTCCTATTCTAGTAAAGAACTGCAGTCTCGGAAACGCACCGGAGCGGTTCTCCTCTGTCCTATAGTGCCTCTTTGTGTGCGAGTGGACTGATGGCAGTGCGTTTGGTCTCTTAGTTTTGCTGCACAGGGGCTGGTGGGGGTCAAACCACCAACCCTTCAGTCAGCAGTGAGTGGTTTTTTAAAATTTATTAAATAATCATTTTATTAGAGGCTCATACAACTCATCACAATCTGGACATCCGTCATTTGTGTCCAGCACATTAGTACATATGTTGACTTCATCATTCTCACAACACCCGCTTTCCACTTGAGCCCTTGGTGTCAGCTCATTTCCCCACTCCCTCCCTGCTCCCCCCTCCCCCAGAACCCCTGATAATTTATAAATTATTATTATTTTATCA